CAGCATCTGCGTGATTGAGAGATAATGTTGCTAGGCGGATACCATCATTGTTCAAAATGAGTCTGATACTCTTCAGCTCGACTTGGACACGAATTGATCCTGAGTTGGGCTTTTGATCTTGCGCAAGTTCAACCGATTTCTCTTCTGGGGATTCGCTTCCAGGGCTATCGGCAATTGCAGGTGTCTCTGAAGGCTGTGGATTGTTGCCAGAGGTGAATGTGATGAGGATGAAGTCCAAGAGGGTAAGCAATGTTTTCCTTGTCACAATGAGATTGATCGTTGACACCGTTGCCTTGATGTTAGTCTCGACACCTTCGTAAACTGGCATGAATTCCGGTGATTTCGGGTTGACTTTGACAAACTTGACGTGAACAAGGCTTCTTCCAGCTTGAAGATCATCGCTATCACCTGATGATACGATAGATTTGAATTCCCCGGCCGGATTGTCCACAAAGTCATCGACTGTGACTGATCCAAGAGACACCTCCGCAGCAATATCATAAAGCCGTGAGTAAAATTCAAGATCGAAACGCTCAGCGACCAGTTCAACAAGGAGGACGTCTGGCTTCTGTCGGTTCGGATCGCTCCGGTAGAGTGAACCCTTGAGGGTGTCAACCTTGAATTTAAATTCAAAGCTGCGCTGCTGGATCTTGAGGTGCTCGTTATTAGATCCATCTTCAGCATCCTCAAACTCTTCATCGTCATCGTCGATATCATCCAACACAACAGCAGTATGTGGCTGCATGAAGGGGAACGCATCCGACTGACTCCTATCTCGCCCGGACTTCTTTCCCGACCTCGTAGAAGCATCTGTAGCAAGCCTAGGACGAGTCTTCTTCTTCCCGCTCTGACGGGACTCTGGCTCCTCTTGGTCCCCAAATTTCGGGATAGACACGTCGATGATTCTCATCAGATTCTTATATTTGGAATCGGACATGGTGGCGTGTAGCATGGGAAGGTGGCCAGAGACCTTGAATTTGGTCAAATTGGGCGCTTTGGGCATAATGGAGGTCTCCACAACGAACTCTACATTGATCCTCTCTACCACATGGAGAAGCGCTTCGTCGTCCTTTTCCACTAGCTGTGCCTTGGTTTCGTCGATGGTTGGTCCGATAAGAACCTGAGTAGATGTGAGCTTGACGATGAACTTGTCGTACATGGCTGACTCAAGCTTTTTCAAGTCTTCCTCGCTGTATGACTGGCGTTGTTTTGACTGAATTTCCTTAAGGGTGCTTTGGTCAACCAATTCGCTGTTGACATGAATATGACCAGCATCAACTATCAGGCAAGTGGACTCCGGTGTGGTGATGCTGACAGGGAGAATGATGAGCGGCGCTTGAAGATCCAGCTCTGCGTTAATGGTCCTGTGCTCTTCTAGAGCAAATTCGAGACCAGCTCGGGTTTGCTCGCGCAGACCCTCAACGGTGGCACCGGCAGTTTCCATCAATGCAGTGATAGACTCCATATGCCTCTCAGGTGGCCTAAAGAAGTCGACGATTCCAACAACAAAATTCGGGTTCCACACAATCTCAAGGGGCTTCAGTTTACCGAGCACGGCGATATCCCCTTCACGCTCGATAGGATTCTTCTCCACCTCGATTTGGAAGAACGGCTCTTCATCCACAACCGCCAGTTCGTTTAGAGATAACCGTTTGCGCTTCTTGGCATCCGGTGCGTCCTTAACGCGTACAATCTCAGTGTACAAACTGTCGGGCGTAGTACCATCTACTACTCGCAAACCTCCCAGTGAAAGATTGGCCAGAATTGAGTCCTTCCTCTGAAGGGCCTTTGCTTTGAAGACGTCAAAATGTAGACTCAAGAGGTCTCTTGGATCGTCGTGCGGTCCCTTCTTGAGAGTGAAATTACCAGTACTCAGAGATGTTTCAATGCAAAGCTTCACAGCTTCCCGAGGAACATCAACGGCTTCTGCCAGTGCGGTTTTCTCATCCCATTCGATGGCATCGTAAAGCTCTTTACGCTGCTCCTCTGTCATCTGGGTGTTCTCCTCATTCTCCTGGATGGTTTCCTGGGGTTTATTCCCCCAGAGCCACGACACCCAGCCCTGCTGTGCTTGCTGGGGTGGCTGATTCTTCAATGCCTCGGCATTCTCCTTCTTTAGCTGGTTTCGTGCAAGAGATCTCCAGAACCGCAGATCCTCATAACCAAGTTTCCATTCCAGCTTGTTGAGGTCATCGTTTTCAGTTGCCGTGAGCTGCTGGAGCTGTTTCTTCTTCTTGAACAACTCAATATATCGCTGACGGTCATCGCGTCGTTCTTTGAAATATTCCCACGACCATCGTCGATTTCGATCGTGAATTTTATTTAATACTGCATTGCCCGCGAATTTGAACCAAGCCCTGGGATCTTCCAAGGGTGTGGCGCCCTTGGGTTGAAGCCTTTTGTATTCTTGGTGCCGGATGAAGTAGTGGAATAAATCCACCATCATCAAACTGTCACGGTATTGGTGGTCATCCAACACGAGGCCAATCTCCTCGAAAAGTAGATTTGCTTTGAATTGAGGCACATTCACATTGCCAGTTTTATCAAGCTCAATCTTTGCCTGCCCACTTACTGGCTTGAGAATAAATTGGTGGTTCAAGCCTGCTTGATCTGTGTTATTAATCATTGCTTTGAATTTTTCAATCATTTCACCATGCGGCATTGCCTCTTCTGGGGATGGTTCTGTCTGTCTCCCCGAACCGAGAAGCTCAGAGTCCGTGTTCCAGTAGACAGCCAAGGCTCCCAGGGTCGCCAGCTTATGCGTAACGTCTCCTGTGTTCTGGATAAAAGTAGGCTTCCATTGTCCATCGGTGCTCACGGCGCTGAATTCCTCCAGGGTAACACCAAGAGCAAAGGGGTGTCCAGGGGCGGATATCGAGTCTTCATAACGGATATGAAGATTCTTGACAGTGACTTGAAGATTGTCAACAATTTTGGTGACAAGGCTCTGTGTGAAGCTTTGGTTCTTCTTCTGCTCCTCGGCGCTCATGCCCTCTTGATTTCGCTCCTTTAGCAGCTCCGCGTTATCGAGCTTGTCCATCTTGAGGCGTTGTTTACGACGGTCCTCCTCTTCCTCGTCGTATTCGGCTTCCTCCTTTGGGCTCGCAAGGAGGAACACATCCTCAATGAAGACCTTGACGGGCGCACCAGCCAAGTTCGACCAGGGAATGGCAAGCGTAAGGTCACCGACGTGGCCCTCGATGACGTTGACGGGTAGTTTGAGCTGGTCGAGAGCCTCGCGCCGCAGCTGTAGGTGGTGCAATTTGACATCGCCAGACCAAATACCGACTTTAAGCTGGGTAGGGTCGAAGTTCTTAACGTACATGCCCAGGAAGCGGTTCAGCAACCCGGCGACAAGCCCCTCCAACATGACTAGAGCGGGGTGCCGTAACCCGGGCCTGGGATATGAGGGTTATGGATATCGGATGTGTGAACTAAGAAGACGACATCGGAAATCGTGCTACAAGCTTCTGATAATGACAACGTATGTGTAGGCTCCCCGCCACCCGAGTTGCAGTCGTTCGGCAAGGAAGGAAAGACTGTTCTGTATGTCGGCGTACTCGATGGTGGTCGGACTTATTGGGCCGGTGTTGTAAATCGGCCGGAATTTAAAAGCTGCCCAGTTGCGTGGTGGGTGCGTTCGTCGTGGGTGCCCAAAGGAATGACTGGACCGACAATCAGCTGAGGGGTGGATGCAGCTGCTGAAGGCCGTCGGTATGAAATTGCTCGCGACTGTGCCGTGTCGTCGTCGGTCGAGGGCGGATGGTGAAAGGAAAGAGGGATTGCTGGCACTACCCAAAGGTCAGGCTTGCATAGCTTGGGGCAACTACTGGGCACGTCACCGCTTGCAGAGGCTCTGAAAACCCCCCCGAGAGAAGTATGACGCGGGTACTCTGTCCCGGCAGTGGTGCTAATGGAGGGTTAGTGCTTGCGATGAACCTGGTGGAGGGGCTGTGACACTGTGGGCGAGTCTCCTGCTGCCCTGGCCATACCCAATCGGGGAGCGACTGTTGCAGTCGATCGTTTGGGCTGGACTTGGAAGGTACAACACCTAAAGCTCCTTCCGTTAAGACCAGTGCGGCGCTGCTTTAGAGCAGTTATTTGCCGTGTGCTCGTTTGGTGACCGTAAAATAACGGTGCTACTGATGCAAATGTTGATTTTCCGCATGGGACCAAGCTGGCCGACTGGCATTTTGCTTTCTTTCCGTGCAGCCATCTAAGATCTCACCAGCCTCCTAGTGTTCAAAACGGGCTTGAGATTCTTACTCTAAGCCACCAATTCGCCCATTGGGTATACACGCAGCGCAGGTTTTACCCGTGGGATTCCGCTCTTGAAAGGAACCTGAAATGGCAAGAGCAGCAAGCGCGCTAAACTGAAATAGCCGCATCCAAACCCACTGGCTGCTAGATTTTAGCTGAGTACCAACCAGCTGGAGATACACTGCTCCCAGCTTCATCATGCACGCATAAGAGCGGCAATACATGGCATGGCAACTGAGCATCGCTATTCCACTAATATCATCATTAAAAAGCCTAGCAGCAGCGTATTCTTCTTCTTTAACATGCCAAAGTCAAACCACCTGGATTCTTCACATCCGTCTAGCTCCCCTGAGCTGCATCCACAGAACCTGAAGTTCATGACGTCACACCTGATCGGAGCTCCTGGAGCATCGATGAGACCGTTGGAAGACCGATTCGTTCATTATGATGCTAAGGATACCATTACGTCTCCGTGCAGAGAATCCAATGTCGAATATCTTGTTTTCCAAACACTAGATCACAATCAGCATCTACAAGCCCATAGCCAAACCACCTTGAAACTTCCATTCACTACATACTTAGCCACAACAAGATCCAATCCGATCGATGCACCTAAATCACGAGTATATCTCGATCTTACACAATAGTGTGTAACAGGTGCCTCCATACGTAATTAGTTTATCGATGCTATTCCTACCGTGTGGCCTACGATCACACCATCATCTCGGGGTCTCATCGCCATGTTCCGCATCCCAAGCTGCCTCGTACGCTCCAGAGCTCCTGTAGCTCTTCAACACCGAACCTCTAGTTTAGCTTTACTCTCAACCTATCCAGCAGCCCAGAGACCCCAATTACATCAACGAATTAGCCATGTCAGCGGCTTCAGCACCCCCCGCTCTTTTCATTCAGTCGCACCCTTGGAGGCCGAAAGTAAACGCGGCCAAGAGAAGCTCAGATCCGACCCATCGAAGATAGCAGCAGAGACCAAATCGTTCGATGATCTGACCCTCCCAGGCGCTCACCCAATTGCAGGAGTCGATGGTGGCGGCCTCAAACATGACATTGTACGGTTCCAAATCACTTCCAACATTGGGATTGCATTCTAACACATTTTCCAAAGGACGTAGTCAGAGACGCTTTGCGGCTCAGCCGTACGCCCCGTGAATCTCATATCCTCGGGCTCATGGGAACGGTGCCTTACTTTGCGACCTCTGCTGCGTCCGTCTTCCTGAGTTGGGACTTGACGAAGGACCTCCCCGCAGCCACCCCATTCTACAACGCTATCTTGATCAATCATGACACTGCAAAATATCTCCTCAGCATCATCGAGCCCCTCCAGCTCGGGTACGGCGCAGTCATCATATCCTTCCTAGGAGCCGTCCATTGGGTAAGCTATAGCTCCTTGCACCTCTCTAGTATACAAGCCTTTGTCGCTGACCAGAGGCGTGATGTCGTCAGGGCCTAGAATATGCCGAAAAGGAGCCCCATCCTGAGCGAACCCGCTTCCGCTACGGGATGGGCGTCGTCGCACCCATCATTGCCTGGCCAACTCTTCTGATGCCCCTCGAATACGGCCTGATCACCCAGTTCGCTGCTTTCGTCGCTCTCTACTTCGCCGATTCCCGAGCGACTATCCGGGGCTGGGCTCCCCCGTGGTATGGCCACTACCGGTTCCTTCTCACTGCAATGGTGGGCTTTGCTCTTTTCATTTCTCTTGTTGGTCGCTCCCGTATCGAGACTTCGCAACGATTGAGCGGGAGATATCTCAGTGAGAGCATAGAAAGCCCCGGAGTGGCCGACACTACCACCGACTGGGTAAAGGTTGAGGCAGAAGAGAAGAAGCGAATTAAGAAGGAGAAGGAGGAAAAGGAGAAGCAGAAAGAGAAAGAGGCGAAGAAGAGCCAGCAAGAGGAGATGATAAAAGACAAGAATGGTGGCAAGGGGAAGCAGGCTCAGGAAGAGGGAAAGCCTAACAGCGACAATCCCAAATCTGGCACTGAGGCGGATAAAACACAAAAGGGGGAAGATGATCAAAAGGAGAAGGATGATCAACAGGAGAAGGATGATCAGAAGGGAAAGGACGGTCAAAAGGGGGAGGACGGTGATGGTAACAAGAAGGATTAAAGGTCCGGGAATCAAGGCCAACAGGGAGCGAGGGAAGTGGAAGTTCCAGGAAATGAAAGATGAAAGAGTCAAGCCAGCCTGTTTACATTTGTCGGTTGGGCTTTGTGGCTGATGAGCGGCTCAGCAACCAGATTCACTTTGAGCAATATCATTATGTAGTCAATGTATCAAAAGCAAAATCCACCCTGCTATATTATGCATTTTCATTGCTTGTCTGCATGTCTCCTTAATGCAAAACAACTAAAACGAAGGTCTATGTATGAAGTTCGCGAACCACAAGCGCGTTAACAAAAGGGGTATGCGGCAAACGCCATGCAAATGCACATTAAGATCCCAAAAGAAGTGCATCCCAAAGAAAAAAAAGCACTGCTTCAACAGTCGCCGGCTAGGGAATTCCTCGAACCCCAGTGAAACCCTCCTGTGCCCTCAAATACATATTATCACAAATATTTAGGTCTCCCCCATTACTCTTTGTCTCCACAAATTAACATCTAAGGTCGAGCGAAGCCTTGTTTGGCCTGTGGTAAAGATCAGTATGTGGTCGATGGGAAGGACGTATGGGAAGATACCAACTTACCTTCATTTGCTCGATTCTAGCCTTGAGCTGGCTGGTCACCTCCGCCGCTCGCTTCCAACTCTCAGCCCCATTAGCTCCAGATGGTTGAGGTAGCGAGGATGTTGGGCGCTCCCTAGTAATGCCAATGCCCACACCACCAGCGTCGCTGTCATTATCACGGTATGATGCGGGAGCTCTAAAGCTTCTAGCTGGAGAACCCCGACCAGATGAGGTTGTGCTCCCTGCGTATCTAAATTCAGGGCTGATCTTACTTCGGGGATAAACCGTCTCTCCGTTCTCTTTCTCCTCAGAAAGTGTACTGGTAAAACTCATCCTGTTCCGACCACCCGAAGCAGAACCCGAGTCGCGATAGATTCCTGCATCATCGTGAGTTGGGGACCCAAGACCTGCCGTTGTCTGTTAGTCTCTCACTATAAAGGTCAAGATCATACGAAAAGTTCATACCTGGACTTGCCGAACCAAGACCCTCGGCACGGCTGAGAGCTCTCTTTAAACGCTCAAGCTCACGCCTTAATCTATCATTGATCTGATCGGTGGCCTCCGCATCACTCCTAGCTCGCACAAGCTGCGTCTCCTTGGCCTTGATGCTGAGAACATCACGCGTATGATCTTCGATAAGGCCGGCGTTCTGGTTCTTAAGCTCTTGAATCTCGGTCATAAACTTATTCCTCTCCTGTCTCATGTCGTCTACTTGCCGGGTCAACCGCTCATTGGCAGCCCGCAACTCCTCCAGTTCAGCACGCTCTACAGCTGTGAATCCACTGGTAGGTGGAGGTGAGTCAGGGGGCATCTGAGGCATCGATGCCGCCGGCTTAGCAAGTGACCGTCCTGCCAGACCTCGCAAGCCAGCTCGTGGCTGTGGGGGAGGCGTGTCATCCTCGTCTGGCATAGCAGGGGGGCCTGTTGGTGGGCGTCGAGGGGATGCTGACCCGGGAGCGGCAAGCGTCCGCTTCTGAGGTGCCTTGAGTCCTGCAAGCCCAGACTTTGGTCCTCCCAATTTGCTCGCAGGTCCCAGAGACTTGGGTGCTGCTTGAGGTGCCGCCTCCGCGGCCGGAGCAGATGCCGTTGCAGCCTTCTTTGCAACCGGCTTTTTGCCACCGAGCATTTTCTTTGGGGCGGCCGCAGGAGCTGGCTTGGGAACTGGCTTTGGCTTCTCTTTGGCCTTTACCTCCGCAGTCTCAAAGAACTCCTTTACCTTGGTCTTTCGAATGTCGTCGAGTCCGTCGATATGGGGATTCATTGCTCTCTCTCCAATAATTTTCATCACAGTTCCCAATATTTCCGCTCCGCCGTCTCTGAGAGCTGGACTTGATTCTGACAAAAGCTTCTTGCCGGATTCACAGATGGAAGTGATTTCGGGTTTGCTGGGTACATCTCTCGTTGTCCGCAAGCATCGAATGAGAAACTTCATTGTGCCTTCTTTCACCTGTGGGTTTTTATTGCTCAAATATGCTGTGATATCCTCGAGACAATCCGTCATACTCGTTGATGTGAAGACAGCGTCGAGGGCGGCACCAAGCGCATCGGAAACAGTCACTTTCTTCTCCTTCAGTCGGTCCATGATGGGCTGCATCACAATTGATCGGTACTTCCCATAGCCCTGTCGAAGACCTTTAGCCAACGCCTCAATGCACTGCGCAGCCTGCGTCACCACCGCCACGTTGGCATCCTTCATGCATTTCGCGAGACCGCGATTAATCTCTGAGAAATCGCTGTCCTTAATACGAGGTACATTTAGAGCTTTGAAGAGACCTTCGACGGCCTCCTTTCGCTCTTTCCATTTCGATGATGCCAGGCCTTCGTGAAAATTCGAGGGGATGTTCTTTGTGATGTCTTGAGGCTCTGCCAAGTCGAAGGCGTCCACCTCAGCAGCCTCCTCGCCACCCTCTGCACCATCCTCCTCCTCTTCTCCAACGCCGGCATCTACAGCCGCCTGCTGCGAACGAAGTAATCTTTCCTGTTTTGGTGACGGGTCGTTCTTAATCTTCTCAAATTGGGCTTCCAAGTCTGTTTGCTGTGTTGGCTTCAGATTTGACCAGAACACTGGTTTGATGGCCTCCCTTAACCAGCGATACAACTCGATGGTTAGATTAGATGCTTCGGCGCGTATGTTTTTGTCTGCGGCACCAAAAGCCTTGGGCAAGCACTTGAGAACAGGCTTAGGGTCCACTACTTTGCATCCATAGTTGTGATATACTTGTGTGAGAGCATTCAGTGTCGCAGCCACATTTTTTGGAACCTTATTGTTCAGGCCGGGAAGCATCTCCTCGATGACCGGGTCGGCGACATCCAGCTCGATGAATAATAGCAAAGCCTCGATCGCATTTTGTTTCGTGGCGGCCTTCGAGGAAGACAAGCATTTTTCGACTATCGGTGTGACGGCCTGCCCCCTTGTTCGCAGCGCGCATTCACTCCCACCATATTTAAGGAATGAGCACAAGGCGGTTACACCTTCTTGCTGCGCGGCGACGTTGGAGTCGAGGACGGCGGCTTTCCAAAGCCCAGGGTTGCTCAAGAATGGGCGAAAACATGGGTCGGATTCATCGGGCGATGCTGAGAACTGTTTTGCGGCGTCTTCGTATCCTGACTTTCGATATTTCCAATTCTACGGGAAGATCCACGTGAGTAAAGTGCCAGCTACCGCCAGCGAGAATGTGAAATCACCTTGGATTCGAAGCGGTCTAGCAACGGAATAGTGCTGAGGTCCACCTCTTGGTCACCCATATTTTGGTCGCGGGTGCCGAAGCTCTTTCCGGACTGTGGGAAAAAGTAGCGCTCTGGTGAAGAATAACGGAGGCCTAGTGGTCTTTTACGTCGTCGAGGGTGGACGATACGATGAACTACTTTGTTGATTAGCTGCCGAACATGTAGCAAGTGTTTTTGGGTGTCCATTTTGAAATTCGTATGGAATGGGGAAAATTATATACCAAGTTGTAGCAACCAGAGCGGTCGACAGCCCAATAAGTACAGGCAGGTAGGAAGACGAGAACTCGGGTATCAGGGTGGCCGGTCTGCACCTCCGCATAAAGGCAGATTTGTTGGATGTCGAGTGGAAGGAAGTAGTCGGATTCTGTCTTTGAGTTAGCCAATGCTTTGGGCAGGAAGGACAGCGCTAGCTGCAAAGTGCTTCAAAGCGCAATGGACTAAGCCAGTCCTGTCACACAAAAAGTGTAAAGGAGAAGGGTCTTGCGCGCTCACCTTCTATTGCGCGTGGTACACCAAGGACATAAGGTGGCATGAAGAAGCTGTTGATCTCTAACACCAAAAGAACCCCAGATGCGGTGCGTCGCCGATAATATAACCCACCGCCTATGCAGAGGGAGGGGGCAGCCCAGCATTGCTAAAAGTCAACAAACCCCATCTACAGGGGCAAGGGCGCGTCACCTGATTTGTCCATCTCTTGGGAGACGGGAGCGCTACAAACAATGCCTAACACCCCACTTGGTACGTGCGCCCAGGTCCCTGCCCTCCAAAGCATCGGCCATGGATCCCGTCCAGTGCCGCCGTCTGGAGGCACAAGCCGGCGGTAAATTCGATCCTTTGTGCTCCTTTGGCGTTAGGACCAAGGCAATTCCCTGCGACAACAGAAGACACCAACCATTATTTGCTGTGCTGTCCCGGCGCATGAAGAGAAGATATTATGCGCGTCAGCCCAGTTGCTGCGATTTGGCAGGTGCACGAGGCTGCTTTGTAGCCAGATGCATCTGAGCTGCCCATTGCCACAGAAACACAAATGATGTCATGCGTCATGTCGCTTCCATATAAGATGCTGTCCAACGCATCCTCAACAACAAGTCAGCCGACGGCATACATTATGCGCTGGAGTAGTGAGCCTAGAATATTTTCTGCTCAGTCTGTTTTCAGAAGCCCAAGGCAGTGACCCATCCATCAAGCAGTCACGCTCCCAGTACCTATGAATGACCATCACAATCACGAGGTTTGGGTCTTAAAAAGATGAACCGTTGATAAATTTCCATCAACCAAAACAAGGTTAAGGAGAATTTAGCTAGATCTCATACGTTCGCAGAGCTCCATTTTCCATAGCTCTAGATGCTACCGTTCAACTATGTTCACCTAAAATATTCCAAATATTGTTCCACCAAGGGGGGGTTCATGGTCTCCACGAGAAAACCAGGCTGCTACTTTCTACAAAGAGTGATTGGTTCTCAATATGGAAACCATTTAACTTGACAGAGAAGCCGAGGGAAAATCGGTACCTCTATAAGCCACCCAAGCCACCTGCCTACGATACGCCAACAGCCTTTTGAGGGCCTAATCCCAGACGGCTGCCTGGTCATCGTGCTCCATTATTATTCCCCTGTCTAAAATACCCAGCGATAGCATCACGTGGCGATAAGAATTTCCAGAGAATCGCATCAACGGTCCCTGGACGACCTGGCGCATTGGTGTGATCGTTGCCTGG